GTCAGAAAGTTGTAGCTTCTTCGTTTTTAGCGAACTTCAGATATAACGAACGATATATTTAAATGTCCGATTGAGTTCGTTATAAGCGGAGTCGCATATATTGGTGAAATATACAAACATTTGCATTTATGGGATCAAGATTATTTTATCATTCATTGCCTCATTTATTATAAAAAATTCCTTTTTTAAAAATGAATTAAGTACTTTTTTTGTTAATAAACTATTAACTTTGGAAAGAACAACCATAAAAAGACATTAAAATAACAATAGTTTTCAATCTAATATATGCAGTTTTCGTATTATCAGTATATAAAAAATGACATTTTTTGGTTAAATTTCACCCCAAAATTTATCTTCATTTCATATTTATTAGCACATAACATTTGAGCGTACAATATGACAATAACCAAGATGTGTAAGTTGAAATAATACTTTAAAAGAAAGTCCATCTTTTCCTTCTCCTTTAATTGGAGACAACCAAGGCAAGTCGGGCATTGTCCTTTGTTCATGGGTAATTTCCCTGATCCTGAACTTGAAATTGATTGAAAGGCTTCTGTCGTCGATGTTATCCGTATACGAATGTAAGAATATACATATATGTATAAAGTTGTTATTGAGTTTTTCGTTTTGTTTTTAAAAATGAACTTATATTTTTATTACATTTTTATTTTTAAGTATTAAAGAAAATTAATCCACAAAAATTGAAGACAATATTTTACTTTTATTTGCATTTTAATTTTTTACGAACATCAGCATGAATCTAAAACTATAACCTTTTGCACTCAGTATTATACTAGAATGCTAGTTAGTTGCAACAACGTGTGTTATGCGGAAAAGGAAGCGTAGAAGTTATTCTTACTGTACTTTAATTATGTTTCTTTATAATTTCTATTCATTCTTCTTTTTTCAAGGCTAAAGATGGTTGAAAAAAAAGTAATAAACGACTTGCATTTCTTTGTTTTTTTTATTATGTAACTAAAAAGACATTTTGGTACATTGAATTATAATTTTCAAATATATAGCTACTGATTTAAGTGCGAAACATTAAAGAGTCTAAGCAAAAAAGTGTTCCAGTTCCATGTGTTTCGAGTGGCTACTCGTTCCCTTATTTCAAATTTGAATAGTCGGAGACAATTTACTTTCCTAACAAAACACTCTCAGATATCAGATTGACGCACTTACTCAATCAAAATTAGCATAACAGGAATAAAGGACGTTTTCAGATCACTGTCGTATACAAACATTTCCATATGTATTAAAAGGTGAAATTATAGAATTAATATAAACGTCTTGAAATATACCAAAATATAACTAAATATATTTACAAATTCCTCAAAATCCTTCAGACACTATGAATGGCGACAGTTTAGTTTTACTGTTGGAATAGGACGTCAGATGGCCCTTGCATATTTCAGGTTAAAGTACGCACCTGAGTTAAAAAACTTACCTTCTATGTATCAACACTTCTGAGTGATATTTTATATGAAAAGATCATACGTCAATGAAAGGATGCAACATCGCTGCATTGAGGAGCAATTTATCCAAAATCAGCGGATTTGTCAGTCTCATAGAAATTCATTGAAATAGACATTTAATACTAAGAATAAACATTTTATAAGACATAATATGCATATGTGGTTTTATTATTGTTTTTCATTTTTATATATTTCTTTGGTTTTTATGTTGTTTTTTCCTTTATTTTCTAGTGTTTGTGAAATGAATGTTATTACGATAATTTTGTCAACACCCTTTATTTGCACTAAACCAGCCACGTAGTCACCAAAATGCATGTTTTTTCCGAAGGAAAATTTAACTTACTCATGCCACTTCGAGCTCTCAAGTTTTCAGGAGTACGCATGCGTATTGTTAGGCAATAGTGTAAATCTTTATTTTCTTTCTCTTTGTTCCAATGAAAAGTCTAAACGTTCTATCACAAAAAGCAATACTTCGAGCGTACAATGGATAGTTAAATACTTCTAGTTCCTCTGTTTTCACATTCTTTGATTGAAGTGTATTCGTGTCTAATAATCCAACATTGGATGTAACATAAACTGCGTGTTCATCACATATGTATGCAGTACCGGTCTTGTCGGTTGTGATGCCTTGTACATTGATATATCGTTTCGCATTTGATATTTTACATACAATTTTAATCTTGCCTCTGAATTCTAGTACATGTAGTGCAAACCTATGAGACATATTGCCATATTCATTCGGCTTTCCTTTTCAGAAATGTATGCCAGTGTTGTATTTGGAATCACTGAAATCTTGATCACATTGCTGGTGTTTAAGTCGACGGTCCAAACGACTTATCCATCGAGATTAAATATTTCGACTTTCCCCGGATTTGAATATGTAACGATAAGCTTTCTTTCATTATGAATAAAATCTATACCATCAAAATACATTGCCTAACATATTTTGTTGTGAGAGATGATATTTCTTTCATCTTCATCTCTTATTGTTTTCAATTTCTTGTCAAGTTCGTTTTCGATCTTGTCAATGTGTTCCCTTACACGTTTTCCAACAGATGACATCTCATGCCTAGCTTTGTCATGATTAATAGAAATGGCTTTAAGGCTGGACTGATCGACATATTTTGTTATGTTTATTTCATTCCTCAGCAGTTCTGTGTTTTCAGCTTTTCAAATTCCTTCTTTATATCTATGCCGGGCAAAATGTCATTGATACGCTTAACTTTTTCACATGTTTCATGACTTGATCCTTGGTAGGAAGAGCAGCAAACCTCTTCATGTGTTTTGCAATAAAACTCTATTAGCTTCCCAGCATGAATTGTACAGTTGGCAGGATTTGCATCTTTCTTTTTCGGCATGTTGTTCTTCTTTTTAGCACATGATGCCTTGTTATAGATGGACGGCAGTGAACGTTATAGCAATCCTTGCACAAATATTCTTAACAGTCGACACAGTATCCTTCCACGGACAGAGTATGTCCATTAATTTTACATGGATCACAAAATAGCTCCACAAGTTCAGTATATAATCCAGCTTCATCATCCTTATACATGGTTTTATTTTGAAGATGAAACGTATAACTGGATGTCCCCAATATTTAAAATAGTTGGTAGTACGTTTGTTAAATACACCTCAAAGTTTAATCAACATTTTATGTTAATTAACGCATAATACTTAAGGGTACAATGCGACAATTACCAAGAGTTGTAAGTTAAAAATATTTTAAATGCAATTCAATCTGTTTCTTCTGTTTTAATTGGAGATAACCATGATTAGTCGGGCAATGTGTTTTGTTCACAAGGTAACTTCCCTGAACCTGAAGATAGGTTTCTGTCTCCGATGTTATCCATATATGAATAATAGAATATATATAGTTGTTTTCATTGTCCAGTTTGTTGTTGAATTGAACTTATAGTTTTATGACATTATTATTCTTAGTTATTAAATATAATGAATCCACAAAATTGAACTTTAAGACCGAATTTTGTACTTATAATGGCACAAACGTCATGTTTGTCTTCTTCTGCATACTTAGAGAAATATTTGAGAAATTGTTTTTTTTGCTAGTATATTGCAATAATATATTTTGTATTTCGTATTACCTTTATAACAGCAGCAGTACTGTTGAGAAATAAGAAATCAATAAAAAAAGAATAGAAACACGGATACAAACATTTGAATTTTGTAATTCGTTCTTTTGCAATTATGAAAATCACTATTGAGCAATGAATAAAGTACCCGTTGGGTAATAATCTACGTGTAATTTAAAAAATCTTCTGTTTAAATGGGAGACAACAATGGCAAGTTGGACATTGTGTTTTGTTCATGAGTAAATTAACTGATCCTGAACTGAAAATTGAGTGATAGGCTTCTGTCGCCGATATAATAATGATAAAAATAATAAATAAATATATCTTTATTTAGAGGAGGTAACACTTTAAGAATGTACAACAGCAAGTATATTTATTTCCAAAGTGGCCTTCTGAAATGGAGAAATAACATCTTCAGAACATGCATATACGTACAAAAATGTATTAAACATGTATGATATTTAATTATTTGAATAAAATATCTCATATAATTTCAACAGACACTCAACTTAACAATTTATTTTAACATATACGTATTTTTATCATTCATTCATTCATTCATTCATTCATTCATTCATTCATTCATTCATTCAGTCGTTCGTTCGTTCATTCTGTATACTTATGTAAGATAATTATATAAAAAAAAATGTCTCAGTGTGTTGTTAATTTGTATTTATCTTTTTATTACATAAAAATTACAAAAATATGTGTTGTGTCATATTATCCGTAAATGTTTGTTATAATGAATCTTTTTGACTTCTCAATTTATGCCTTTCAATGGCTTGAGTCAACAAAACCCGTTCTCTAAATTCTTTAAATTAATCATAGTTTACTTATATCAATGTTAAATATTCGACCTGTGTTAAAAACGTTGGCTAATGATATGATGAATAAATATTTTATCGTGAAAAAAATATTTCTCATGCAACTATTTCTTCCCTTTTATATGATTCTTGTAATTGTAATTTAATCAAAATGGTAAAATTTTCCAAAGCTATTAGCCATGAAGTATAGAATTTAAACCAACAAAATATGATTAGTAATGGTAAGAAGACAAAAGTTTACTTTTAATTACATTTTAATTTTTTTAGGAACATTAGCATGAATTTTAAACAGTAAGCTTTTGTAATAATATAATATTATCCAAAATTTGTCAGTCTCATAATATTTCATTGGATATATATACACAGAATAAACATTTTATAAACATAACATACGTAGTTTTTTGTTTGGTTGTGTTGTTTTTCTATGTATATTTCTTTGTTTTTTATTATTGTTTTTTTTTCTTTCTTCTTATATTTTATATTTGTATCTGAAATGCAGGGTATCACGATAATTTTGTCAATTCGTTTGGTTTGCACTAAACCAATCAAGTACAAAAAATTACTCATGCCACTTCGAGCTCATAAGTTTTCCGGAGTCCGCATGCATATTGTTAGGCAACAGTGTACACCTTTATTTTCCCTTCTGTTGTTCCAATGTAGAGTCTAAACGTTCTATCGCAAAAAGCAATACTTCGAGGGTACGATGTGTAGTCATATCCTTCCAGTTCTTCTAATTTCACATCCTTCAAATGAACTGTATTCTTGCTTAAATCAACGTTGGATGTAACATAAACTGAGTGTTCACCACATAGGTATGCAGTACCGGTCTTGTCGGTTGCGATGCCTTGCACATTAAGATATCGAAACCCATATGATATTTCACATACAACTTTAAGCTTGTCTTTGAGTTCTAGTATTGAAAGTTTGCTTGCCATGTATGCCAGTGTTGTATTTGGAATTACTGAAACCTTGTTTACATGGCTATATTTTAAGTCGACTTTCCGGTCAACAATTCCATCGAGGTCCAATATTTCAACTGTCCCTGGATTTAGATATGTAACGATAAGCTTTTTTTCATTTCGAATAAAATCTATACCATAGCATGCCCCGGAGACAGTAAGGGTCTTTTCAGGCGTAACTGAATCAGCCTTTGGTAATGAAAGTGAAAGAAACTGAATCTTTTTTTCTTCAGGAAGAGTGACAGCTAATTTGTCGTCAGGTACCACTGTTATGTCATAAGGCGGTGAACTTAGTAATACATTTGCCGTTATTTTGTCATTGTTTATGTCTATTATTTTCACATTCTTGTTTTCCTTATCAACGATGGCAAGAAGTGATTCTGATATAAGGCATAGTCCGGTTACCTCACATTCCTTTGAATCATCGGGAGACATAGCATTAAGATCTCTGATAAAATGAATTGTTTTTGATTTTGTTTCGTTCAAAGAAATATTTCCAAAAGTATACGGTTGTGAAGTAAGCTTTGTGACCTCTTTATCTGGTGTAAACGAGTATCTTTTTATTTTGTTATCCATTCTAATTTTTTCTAGATTGACGTGGTCTGCTCTTATTTTGCTTTGTGCCCTTTTCATAGATATGAATGCATCCAGTGTTCTGTTTCTTGATATTTTAGGTTGAACATAGGATTCGATAGTGTTTGCATCAAAATACATTGCCTCACATGTATTTTTATGGGACATGATTTTTCTTTCATCTTCATCTCTGATTGTTTTCAATTTCTTGTCAAGTTCGCTTTCAATCTCGTCAATGTGTTTCCTAACTTGCTGTCGAACAGATGACATCTCATGCCTAGCTTTGTCATGATTCATCGTAATAGCCTTAAGGCTCGACTGAACGACATATTGTGTGATGTTTATATCATTCCTCAACAGTTCTGTGTTTCCTTGCAGCTTTTCAAATTCCTTCTTTATATCTATTTCGGGCAAAATGTCATTGATACGCTTAACACCTTCACATTTTTTATGACTCAATCCTTTGCAAGAAGAGCAGCAAACCTCTTCATGTGCTTCGCAATAATACTCTACCAGCTGCTCAGCATGGATTGGACAGGTGTCGGGCTTGCACTCTTTCTTTTTCGGCATGTTGTCTTTCCCTTTTAGCACATGGTGCCGTGTTATAGAGGGACGGCAATGAACTTTATAACAATCCTTGCACAAATATTCCTCACAGTCGACACAGTATCCTTCCACGGACAGACTTTGTCCATCGCTTTTACACGGATCACAAAGCAGCAGCTCTTCAAATTCAGTACATAATCTTGCTTCATCATTCTTATACATATTTTTATTTTGAAGACTTAACGTATAACTGGATGTCCTCCTTTATATCTTTACTACTATAATATCCAACTGCTTGTAATGGACATGAATGTTTAGTTGTTTGTCAAATTTTCATATATGGAGTAATTTGATATATCGTATATCCGTATACAATGCAATAATACTACGCTCTATAACAATTTAATCGAACAATGTCCCTGTTTAAGATAACCGTCAAGGCGACGGCTTGTACACTTGTTAAACGGGATCTTTTTATCAGCTTATCAACCAAAGCATGTTATTTGATATGTAATCTGTATTATATAAACACATTTGTTACGTTAAGCAAAACATAAATTATGAAAATAAGGACATGGATGCATGATTTACTTATGTTATACAATGTCCGTAATTTCACCAGTTTTTTTAAGTCTTAGCGAATCTGTTTTTCTCTATTCTATTGTCACTTTAGTTTTGTTTGAGCCGTCCTTGAAAATCATTAAGTATTGTTGTGGTTGTGGTATTTATAATTCCTATTAGTTGGTCTTTTTCTAGTTCGATTATTCTTGTATTCCTTTTTGAATACTGTATATAAATAACATTATGATAAGTATCCTTCTTTTAAGTCCCCTACCGGTTTAACCGGAGGGGACTTTAGGTTTACCCTCCGTCCGTCCGTCCGTCCGTCTGTCCGTCCGTCCGTCCGTCCGTCCGTCTGTCTGTCAGTCCGTCAGTCCGTCTGTCCACAAAACTGGATCCCGCGATAATGCAAAAAGTACTGAAAATATTTTTATGAAACTTGATATATGGATAGATGGCAGTATGGAGATTATGCACGTCTTTTTTTCTTCCTATGTTGAAAATTCTGGTTGCTATGGCAACAAAAAGCCTGAATTTCAAGATTTCTGATTTAAAATTTTCAGCTTTTTTACTATAAGTTCTTTATTTCTTAAGGTGTTTACTTCAAACTTTGAATATAAGTTTCTGGTCATCAACCACATCATATGTGACAAGGTTTACAACTCTAGCACACAAATTATCAGTATTACCTCCCTTGAACTCAGAATTTTTATGAAAAAAAATGTTGTCTTTTTTAAATAACTTCTTTATTTCCTAATGTATCTACTTCAAACTTCTCAAATATGTTTCTTATTATCACTCAACATTTTTGAGAAGGTTAAATACTCTAGCAAGACTATTTCGAGAATTATGTCCCCCTTGAACATTTTTGTATTTTTCACTCCAACTTCTTCATTCCTTATAGGATTTACTTTAAAATCCCACATCATAATAATATGACAAGGTTGTATAAACATACTTTCCTTACTGGGGAGGCAAACTAAACACATAACTGTGATATAGACAAACTTAGAACTCAAAAGATTTAAGTTCATTCATGTCATTCATTCACTGGTAAAATTGAATGGCCAATGGCCCATCAGAATGTTGCTTGGGTTCTAACCCCGGTAGTGGACTTATGGATTGCTTGCAATACTATAATAATTGCTTGTTAAATATGTCTTTCGACGCCTTGTCGTTTTGAGCATTCTTTTAGGAAGACGTAAGGTATAGAATAAAAATGTATTATTTTTCATAAAAATAATTGGCTGCAATCAGTATTATGCACTGTTTATTTTTCATAAAACTTACATTATTAACATGATTTAAGTTTGAATTTGTAATAATTATCTTCCTTGATACGCTTATTATTTTCGCATTTGTCAGGACTAAAAAGTTAATATTAATTCCTGGGGGCGGCCCTTGCCGATTGGTTAATTTCAAACCACTCGCCCCTAACTGCTGTGGGTTCGAATCTCGCCAGGGACTTTGAATACTTTTAACGCATCCGTGGTAGTCGTTTGTTTTTTCTATTTCCATAGTAGAAATAGATAGGAACCTTTTTTATAGCTTGCATTTAAAAGTGTCTAAATTTTAGCATGTCGTTCTTGTGGAAATAAAAGGTTCAATCAGACATTGTTTGAGGATCAAAAGAAAAATAGACTAAATGTGTTTCCAATATTGCCTGCATTTGTAAGATTGTGAACTATGGCACTTCCGACCGAATTTATGTACTTAAAATGTCAGAAAGAAAAGACATAGATTTTTTTCATTCACAAAATGTCTATTTTATCTACTACTGCATATTTAGTGAATTATTTGAGAAATTGGGTATTTAAGCTAGAATATTGCAAAAAAATTCTATATTTCGTACATTACAGCAGTACTGCTAAGAATTAAGAAATCAATTACTTAAGAATAAATAACATATAATGTTAAAATACAAATAAAGACATTTGAATTTAAGGGAGAAGACACATTTACATTGATTTTCTTACTTTTATTCTCTTATTTTTAATTTATTATTCTTATGTAATTATGAAAATCACAATTGAGCAATTAATAAAGTACCATTTTGTTAATAATCTAGATAAAACAATTGTAAATTTTAAAGCTTATTTTGGAAGGAACAATTACAACCACAAAAGACAGAAAATAAAAAAGAGTTTTCAAATTTTTTCTTTATCAATATTTAAAACAGATGGCATTTCGTTGGTAAAATTTCACCCCAAAATTTCTTCAATATTTTTATATTTTATTTTTATATTTTTATTAACACATATCATTTAAGGGTACACTGTGACAATTACCAAGTTGTGGACATTCAATCTCTTTCTTTTGTTTAAATGGGAGACAACCAGGGTAAGTCGGGCATTATGTTTTGTTCATGAGTAACTTCCCTGGTCCTGAACGGGAAATTGATTGATACTTATGTAAGATAATTATAAAGTTGTTTTTTATTTTCCCAGTTACTTGTTAAATTGAACTTATTTTTTAACATTAACATTCTTAGTTATTAAAGATAATGAATCCACAAAATTGAACTCAAGTATCACGTTGAAGCACTACATATACATTATATCGTTGACGCAAATCTGTTTTAAGCATTAACCTGATTAAATGATCATGCCAAATTGATTGATTACATAAAGAAGATTTTTTTACAGAGTAGAGGCATTTATAGTAGAGTTGACTATGCTCGTTAACAGCTTGATTAGATACCTAATTTATAAGCTTTATGTTAAGTTATTATACACTAGACATTATCAAAAAATTGGTCTTATATTATCTGTCAATGTTTGTTATATGGATTTGTTTGACTTCTCAATTCTTGAAGACACATTTACGCATTGCAATGGCTTAAGTCAACACAAACCTCAATCGCTTTTAAATTCCTTTTATTAATAATTGTTAATTCAATGTTTAATATTCGGCCTGCTTTAAATATAATCTAGCTGATGATATGAATAAATATGGTATCAGGAAAATAATATTTCACATATACAAGTATTTCTTCCCTTATTAAGGTCCTTGTAATTTTAATTTAATCAAAATGGTAATATTTTTCTAAACGATAAACCATTAAGTAATTAATGTGATTAGTAGGAAGTTAGGTAGGAAAACTCTGTCTATCCAAGCTTGCTGAGATTCTTGATCTTTGATATTAAGGGAAATTAATAAGTTAACATTTTTTCATAGTCTTCTTCCTGTTCAAGGAATGGAAATCCCCTTCCAGTTTCTTTTAACAAGTTAAGATTATTTAGCACCTAAATTGATAATGTTGAAATTACTTTAGAGAAGCTTCGAACTTGTTGTGGCCTAAAATCAAATGGTTCGCTAATCATATTAAGTTTTAAGCAATAAGATCACCAATGGATGATTGTTTGAATATATAGATATACATACCTTACTTCCAAACAAGCACGCACAATCATCATCAGTCTCAAAAGTCTGTCTGCCTTGTCAATAAATTGGTAGATAAGTCTAAACCGCACGATACTGACGCCTCCCTTGAGAGAAAAGGAGCAGGATTAATACCATTATAGCAATAATTAGAAGCTAATGAATGAGAGTAGATGTAAGATTGTAGAATGATAAGCAAACATAACGACCATAGATACTGAAATACATTGACAATGAAGTGCTTTATAGCAGTCTGGCAAAAGCTGAGCTTTTTGATCTTAAGAACGTTTTCACGATCAATATCTGGAAACTTTTAAGCCATTTACTTTTGATAATCATGTAAGGACTGTAAAAGTCAAACAGACATTAATGGTGTGCATGCTTGTTGTACCAAAAAACACCTACAGATTACGACAGAATATTCAGTTACTCAGTGGCCCATGTCAATACATGAAACGAACTTTATTTGCAAATAATCATGAAGCTTATATTTTCTAAGAAATCTTGTGAGTGCAGATTCCAGATGTAGCAGGTAGTCCAGTTCGTCATCCTAAAACCTTGGATGTGATGAACGTTGAAGTCATCACCATCTTCACCCCACCCCTGATATTCAAAGACATCTAAAAGATTGTTTTCTCACGCACAATGTAACTAAAACTTCGCAAAGATACTATTGCACTTTTAAATGTAAATGGTTTTATGACTCATTCTCTTGTCTTATATATTGTTTGTTAATTTTGTAGTTTAGATGTTTTTTTTATAAATGTACCTTGTATAACTTGTATTATCTGTAAAATTGTAATTTTATATATTATTATCTATGTTAAAATGAAAGACAAACGTATGTTTATTTCATTAATGTAAATAAATCTATTTTGTACTAAAAAAAACAAGAACTTACATGAACCAAATTAAATTTTAGGGGATTTTTATTTTTCAATTTCAGGATGATATGAGTTCTGATAATAATGACTTTGTTATGGATTGATTATTGAGACATATATGACGGCCAGCTCCGAATGCAGCTCCCATATCGTTATTTACTTTGTTTTATAAATTGACATATTTGATTCTTAAAAATATCTATTTCCATTGCTTTTGAAATAAGTAAAAAAATAAAATCTTCTGAATTTGCTTATTGTTACTTATTCATATTTATCTTAACATCTCAAAAGTCATTCACTTTTTTTTACAACGATGACGTCTTTGGACATAATTTGTTAAATGACGTTTAGTGTCGTTTTTTTCATGCCGACTTTCAATTATTATAATATAACACA